TGCTCGTGTTTGGTAACAGTGGCTCGCGGGCGGCAGCAGCCTTGGGGAAGAGTTGCCAGTACAGCAGCGAGCTGGCCTGAGCCCTCTACGGGAGGTGACGCTGGCCACTGTCCTCTGTTCCATGCCCCCCCCCCCCCCCCGAGCACACGGGTCCCGAGACACGCGTTGTGGCTGTGTCCCCGCCTCCTGGATGTGCTCAGTCCTCCTGGCTTTTGTGAGCCGTGACTCTGGGGAATGGCCCCGTCGGGCAGGGTCGCCCAGTACTGGCTCTGGACGCGCCTGTGGAGTGTGGTGGAACCGGCCGTGCCCTCCCGCCTCCTGCTCCCTGGGGGCGTCCTCGTGGAGGGTCCTGGTTGTTCCTTCTGCCGGTTGGGTTCTGTCCTGCTTAGTTGGGTGGCGGTGTGGCCCTTGTGGCAGGGACCTCCTCCTCTGGCTGCTGTGTGCCTCGGCTCTGCAGCCACTGCCTTTTGATGGTTTCTTTCCTTTTTGGCACAAAAAGATGCTCAGGGCTTCTCTAACGTCCACCCGTGTCCTGTTTCGTTGTCGTCTGGGGGGCCATCTCCAAGGAGCTGTGGGGACGTCCCTCAGATGAGAGAAGTGTCTGCCGCTGGACGTGGCAGGAGGTTGATGCTGCCATCTGAACCGGGCTCCCTCGGGGACAGTTAGAGCGCTCGTCGCTTTATTGGCTGATGGCCATGAGATTGCTCCAGCCTCCCTCACCACTGCCTCGGTGCCCTGTGGCTTTGCCGGGCTGTGAGGTCCCTTCTCTGGTGGGTTCTATTCTCCTTAATTTCTTTGTTGGATCAGTGCCACCCCCTCCCCATACAGACCCCCTCACCTGGCTTGGCTCTGTGTCTCTGCACGGAGGCCTCCATCCATGGGCTGTCCTGCTGCCTCCAGGGCAGATGTGGAGATGGTCGGTCAGGTCCTTGAGTGAGGAGTAGCAGGTCCCGCCAGCTCCCTAAGACCTGAGAATGAGCAGGTGAGGGGCACTGGGGGCATGTGGCTCTGCAGAGCCTCCCCTGAGCCTCCTGGTAGGCACAAGGCACAGAACACGGCAGAAGCACAGCAGGAGAGAGTGATGCTGATCCTCGGATGGCGACTGTCTATTCAGAAAAGATGCAGTTACGAAAAGTAGTGTGAGCTCAGCAGAAGAGATGGCCAGGAGCCTGCCCTCAGGTGCTCCCGACCACAGCTGCAGGCTCTCGAAGCTGCGTCCTGAAAGACGCCATAATTGGGTACGTGCCCGGAGGTCCTGAAAGTCGATATCACGCAGGACACCGCAGGCCTGCACACAGGAAGTCCCCAGTGCCCGTGTCCACTGCGATGGTGTGTCCGTCACCCCGCCTCCAACCACTGCCTTGGTCAGCAGCCTGACATGGCCCTCCCTGAGCTCCTGGCTCCACGGGCCACGTCCAGCTTGGCCTGTTCTCTGCTCTGGGTGCCAGGCGATTGTTGAGATCAAGTGTGTGTGTGGGGCCGCGTCCCCGGGGCTCTGGACAAGTCTGCGTCTCGGCTGGCTGGGTTACTTCCACTTGTGTGCCAATGTCCCTGTGTCCTTGCTGGCCACCAGTAGGGGCTGCTCTCAGGAGCCAGAGGCCACCTTTACCCTTCGCTTTATGGCCCCTCACCCTCAGAGAGCCCCTCACCTCCAATCCCTGCACCCTTGAGGCTCTTCAGAGGGAGCCCAGGACTTTTAAAGTGTCACCAGATGAGGTCACTGGGATGGTCACCCCTGCTAGTCATCTGTGCTCTCGAGTGTTACCCAGGCTCTGAGTGGCTTCACCCTCCTACATCCAGCCCACTCCCCATGGGAGGTCATTGGGGTCCCCCGGGCTCTGCCCTCTGGGGCTCTCCTGTCTTCGTACGGAGGACCTTCCCAGGTCCGTCGCAGCTGTGATCACACGTCGTGACTGCTTTTCAGGACACCTGATAAGTGGTTAAACGTTTACGGGGACATGCTAAGCCCCTCCTGTGGCCTAGCGATTCCAGGGACGGGAAGGGGCTGGTTCGCCTCACTGGTGATGAGGGACAGGCAGGTGCCTCGTGCCCCCGCTGGCCGAGCGCAGGGACTTCTGGGAGCAGGTCTGGGCTTGAGCCTCTGAGGACCTCAGGTGTCGCCTGTTGTCGTCGACCGCCCCCGTCCACCCGCACGAGCCAGCGCTTTGCTCTGTGGGTTGCGCATCCGCGGATTGAACAAGCCGTGGACTGAGGACACTCGAGCAGCACTGAGACCACACTGGGCTCTTTCCCGTTGTCGGTGCTTTTTACCTGGCGTGACGCCGTTCGGGTTTGAGATCCAGAGCTGATTCCAGCACCCGTGACCCAGGGCGCTCGAGTGCCTGCAGCCGGGTAGCCTGGGTGGGTGAGGGGTGTCCTGGGCCCAGCCCCAGGGTGCTCTTGCAGTTTCCTTCCAAGAACCCCTGCCCGCCGGCATCAGGGGAGATGAGGGAGTGGTCCCCTCCCGGGGGGAGGGGTGGTATGGGGGGACCGTCTGGCAGGGCGCACAGGCTGCCATCGGGAGCTCTTGGGGACGTGTGTTACAATGTGTTAAGGAAGGAAGAGGCGAGGACACGGAGACGAGCACGTGGCCAGCCCCCAGCCACCTTTTCATCCTGGGGCAGTTGTGGGCTGTGGAGGAGGGTGGGGCAGCCGTGAGGCCGGGGTGGCTTAGGGGTCCTCTGCACCCAGGGGCCAAGGGCAGGGCTGGCCAGGGCGGGGTTTCTGCAGCTGCAGGCTGAGGCCCTCGGGTCTTCTCCCCGGACCCTAGCTGTGCAGGCGGCTGGATGGGCTCCAGGACCGTGCCCAGTCTGTCTCTGGCCCCAGGAGCCGCTCCTGGTGCGCCAGGCTGGCCTTTCTTGTGTCTGGGCTGCTCCCTGCAGCAGGAGGGCTGTCCCCAGTGGGGCTGGATTGGGTTTCCTGCTGCCGAGGTAATTGGCGGTTCTTATGCAAAGGTTAGAACAGCTCCCGGCCGGCCGTGAAAAGAAAAGTGGGGCTCGCGCACCACGCTGCTCTTAAAAACCAGAGGGGGCGGTGGGGCTCGGATGATGTCCTCCACATCAAAGTGGCCAGCAGACGGCCGCGCAGCCGCAGGCGGTGCCCTCCCTCTGATCACATTTCTGGGTAATTCAATCGGGCCTTCGGCAGGGTGGTGGGGCCCACATCTGTGGGGGCCTGGCGGGCCTGGTTCCTACCACAGTTGCCTAATCCAGGCCTGGGCCCGTCCCCCGCCACACCTGTCGCCAGGTGAGCCCACTCTGCCTCTCGGCTTCCCTGGCCCTGGGGGTTGTGGCCGTCTCTCAATCACCACTGACGGGTCATTGACCTGGGGGGGGACAAGAAAGAGCTGCTGACAGCAGGGTCCCCGGTCAAGACCACTCTGGCTGAACCCAGGTCTGAAGCCCAGCATCTGTCACGTGCCCAGCTCAAGGGAAGAGCCCCTTGTGCCAGGGCTCTGGCCTTGGGGACCTGGATGTCCCCAAGGGATGTCCCAGACCCGCCAGGCAAAGTGGACATCCCTTCGCCCCTCTTTCCCTCCCTCCTCTCCTTCTCCTGTTTTCTTTGAGCAAATAAGAAGCCCTCAGCTGGTGGAGAGTTTTGAAGGCAGCCCTTTGGAAAGGGCGAGTGACCAGGTGGCCAAATGACCCTCTGTGGTTCCCTCTAGGCAGAGGATTCAGGGGAGCTTCCTGGCTTGGTGCTACTGTGACTGCCACCCCGTTGGTGGGACATGTGGTGGCCAGCAGGGGCTGGGGGCATTCCCTCCATTCGCTTCGGCTCAGGGCCTGTGACAAGTGCACAGCTGGGCACAGAGCACCTCAGAAGCCCCGTCATGCCCCTGGCCAGGATGCCAGCAGGAGGTCCTGGGCACGAGGAGGGCAGAGGTGGGGTCGCCCATCTGGCCTACCATCTAAAATAGCTTGAGGTGCCCTGGTGGGGTCGAGGACTGGGTCTGGGATGGCAGTGACCTGCCTCCGCAGCTGTGTCCTCTGGAGGATGGAGGAGGAGGGTGGGCGGGGAAGCCCTGCTAGCTGACCCCGGCGTGGAGTGCGTGCTTGTGGTCCCAAGTGGTCAGGGCCTTGGCTCAGCCATGGTGACTGTGCTCTTGTTGACCACCAGCATCCCTGTGCCTGTGTCCTCGCTGTCAAGTGGACCCCCAGTGAGTGGAGGCTGCCCCCAGGTGTTCTGCCCCTGGAGTGGTCGCACCTGTCTCTGGGGCCCCCCTCCCTGGCCCCAGCTGTGCCTGGCTGACCCCCGGCTCCTCCACACACCAGATGAGAGCCAGGCTGCTGGGCTCCCACCACAGGGTTCCCTGCCCAGCCTGATAGCTCTGCCCCTGGACTCATGAGCTCCTCCTTCCCTCGGAGAGGGGACAGGGGGCTCACCACCCTGAGGAGGCGGTTCAGGCCCAGGGTTCCTCAAGGGAGTGGGACCCAGAGGCCAGAACTCTAGATCTGGAAGGCCTTGGAACCACAGAGCCACCATCTGTGTTTTACTGCTGGGGAAACCGCGGACAGAGCAAGCAGGGAGGGCTGCCCCAGGCCTCGGCCTCCTCTAGGGCTGTTCTGTTGGTCCTGTGACACCAGGGGGCAGAGGCCTCTCCCCCACACCTTCCGTCCTGATCACAGAGAGGTCAGCTCTGGCAAGGACTGAGCCAGCACCGGAGAGGCCCAGCAGGGTGCCCTTGGTGTCCGTGTCTGTATCTGACGTCTCTGGGGCTGGGTGGCAAACCCAGGGCCTCGTGCAGGCCGGGACCACGCCAATCGCCAGGTGGCCCTGTCTACCCTGAGCCCAGGGCCTTCCCACGGGGCTTCTCCTGGCCCGAGGGCCAGCTGGGCCCAGCTCACCCAAGGGCTCTCAGCCCAGGCCTCTGCCTTGCTGGGGAGCCGAGGGGAGGGGAACCAGCGAGGCCGCGAGTTCTCAGAGGCGCCTGCTGCCTGCTCAGGGAGGAGGGGTGAGCTCGGGACCGGGCATGGGGGGTGGGAGGGGGGACGGGGTGTGTCTCACCTGCCGTCCCCGTCTGTGGCGTGGCCTTCGCCTTGGGAGAACCTCTAGTGCCAAGCATCAGAGTGAAGAGGGCTGGAGAGCTGGTGCCGCTCCCAGTAGGACTTCTGGTGACGTCGGATGGGCTGTGGATGGGCAGCTCTGCCTGCAGGCGCCATCAGGGTGTCCCAGAGTCCTGGTACAGGCCAGGGGCCCCCCGCCACCTTCAGGAGGAGAGGAGGGGAGGGGGTCACGGCTGGACCAAGGAACTTGGTTGGACCTGCGTCTTGGGACCTGTGACTCCCTGCCCCCACACCTCCTCCACCGCCTCTTCCTGCAGAGTGGCTGTAGGGGAGAGCTGAGAGCCCAGGCTGAGGGCTTCTGTCCTGGGAGGGTGGAGGTGGCACATGGGCAGCCTGGGCTTGTGTCTGTGGGCAGTTCTTCTGCAGAGGCTCCTTCCTGCCCGCCACCTCCTATGTGCAGGTATGGCACCGTCCTTGGCTGTTGGAGCCTGCGTCCTCTCAGGGTCCCTTGGACAGGACTTAAAATTGTCCATCTCAGTGTTCTCTCCCTATTTGAGTCTGGCCCTGAGAAGCCTCAGGTGTCCCTAGGCCCATTGGCTGGAGGCCAGAGCCGCTGCCACCCTGTCTCCCGGCCCACCTCCCTGCCTGCATGGTGGGGCTGCTTTAGCATTGGCCGCTGTCCCTATCTGCCCCTGGTTTGGTGTTGGTGGGGGCGGCCACACCCCGAAGCACATCCCACCTCTCGGACCCTCAGTGCCTCGTCCCAATGGTGACGGCGCTTAAGAATCAGGCTCAGGTTGTATCCGTCTCCCTTGTAAATCCCTTTGGTTTCAAAAGAGCTCTGGCTGGGGACGTCCCACCACAGGTGGAAGCACTGGTCTGCAGTCCAGTGACGGGTGTGCTTTCCTGGAAACAGCCACAGTGCGGGACCCTGACGGCCATCCCTGGGCCTGGTTGGCGGGGCGGGCGGGGGGCTGGTGCCTGTAAGGCTGCTGTTCCCTGTGTGGACCCTCCATGCCGAGCCCCAAGGACCAGGGAACGCTGGCCGCTCCCACACCCCTCCTGAGGGTGGAGAGGTGTTTGCAGCAACCTGGCACCTTCTGGATTGCACCAGGCTCGGGGCAGGTGGCCACAGTGTCTGAGTCTGGCACACCGTGCGCGGAGGTGGAGACAGCCACCTCCGGCAGAGCGTGTGCCATTGCTGAGAACGGCAGCTGCGTGGCAGTTACTCGGAGCAGGCTCAAGCCGAGGGCAAGGTGGGGCCCTGGGGAGTCGCTGTGGTGGCCCGTGTTGGAAGGCTCCTGTGACACCTGGCCCTAGCCAAAGCCCTGCGGACACTCCTCAGGGTCTGGCTACCACTCGCAGCGTGGGCACTGGTGATGCCTTTGGTTTCCCAACCTGGTGCCCAGCCTGGCTGGTGCATGGCTCAGGACTCCAGCCCCTCTGGAGGGCCAGGGGGTGAGGCGCGTGCTCTGGTCTCAGGCTCAGCTGTAGCCTGCTGTGGTTAGACGCAGCAGGGGCCATGGCACAGCGGGACGGGGGATGGCCCGGGCCCCTTGACTCTCCCCAAACTAGCCAGTGAGCTCGGCCCCCGTCCAGTCAGCCGAGATGCTTTGAGGGCTGTGGAGGGTGGGCAGGGACATTCTCTGGCCTGTGGTGCTCTCCAGTCTTGTTGGAGCCCCTGCTGGCCCACTGGGCTTCTGGTCAGTGGGCCTGGGCCATTACTAGCCCACACCCGGTGATGCTGAGGATGTTGGCACAGCTGTGGGATACTAGCAAAGTGGTGACCCCCAAGAGAGGTCTGGATCTCCTAACCCCAGTACCATGCCCGTGACCTTACTCGGGAATGGGGTCTTTGTAATTGTGTGTCTGGAGATGCGGTGGGCCTGGGTTAGGGTGGACTGTGCATAGAGTGACTGGTGTCCTTGGAGGAGGAGAGGGCAGAGGAGGTGTGTGCAGATGGAGGCAGGAGGACCCTCCCCGCGGGCCTGCGCTGTGGTTCTCTGCGTTGGCCTCCAGAGCTGAGGTGAGCAGCTGCCTGTCCTGGGCCAGCTGTGTGGGGTGGCTTCTCGGGGCAGCTCTGAGCCCTGAGCGCAGCCCTGGGGGACCAGGACTCGGATGGCAGGTGCTGGGGCAGTGCTGAGGGACAGCAGTCAAGACAGCCATCTGAACGTTTCTGTTTCCTGCTGTTTTCTTGAAGTGACCCAGGGAAACTTCTGGAACACCCCTGGCCTAAGCAGCCTGGGTCCAGGGGGAGCTCTTGAGGGCTGGCGGAGGGGTATCTTGGTCTTTTCAAAAAGGTACCCACAAAGGCTGCCTGGGTCTGGTCAGTGATGCCCGCTGGGCAGAGGGGTGCCCTTCAGTGACTTAGGGGGCTGTGTCATTGGGAAGTGTCATTGGGCACGTGGCTGGTTGGTGCTGACAGCTGCTCCCAGGGAGGCGCTGTTGGAGGGGGTCTGCATTTCCAGTGAGCCCCGCAGCTGCTGGATGTCGCAGTCAGCCACAGCAGTCTAAGGTAGGACCCCGGCAGGGCTGTGAGCCCCTCTGTCCCCCAGCACTGCCCCCCGCAGCCTGCACACGGGTCTGGGTTCTGACGTCAGCTGTCTCAAAAGCCAGGTCATACCCCTTGAGGTTGCTGAGCACCCCCTAAGATGAGGTGTGCTGGCAGCACCTGCATGCAGACACAGTGACCAAGGGCAGGTGCTGCTGTCCAGCGGGTCCCAGTGGGGCCCGGGCAGGCCGGCATTGGCAGCACCCTCCAAACCCACAAGACGCCTGCAGAGCGGCTTGGGTGACGGCGAGTGCGGGCTCCTCGTGACATCCTGCTGCAGTGGGCCAGGTGCTCAGAGATGATTTGCATACAGGTGAGGGCCTAGGGACTCGGAGGCCCCGAGTCCAGGCAGGGTCAGGCAGGACAGACGCCTGGAGAGGTGCCGTGCAGGGCCCGCGCAGTGCCTGGACAGGCCAGCAGGGGGCAGCCGAGCTCCAGTGGCAGGCGCTGGGACAGGCCAGGCCCTGCTTCCTCCCTCTGACCAGGGCAGGGTGTCCTCCGAGGGGCCTTCTTGGGCCCCGCACCTGGGCAGCAGTGCCCTCTGCGGCTCCACCTTTCCTCTCCTGTGCTCACTTCTCTGGCCCCAGGGGCCCCAGGGGATCTGTGTGTGGCAGGGATGTGTCCCCACGGCTGGCAGGAGACCATGCCAACATTGTTGAATTCGGGGCTGCTGGTCTCTCTGTGGGGGGACAGGGTGTGACGAGGCGGCTGCGGGCTCCCCCACTGAACGCGCTGGACACGGGGGGGCAGGCAGTGCCAGGGCTGCTGGCTCAGGGACCCTTCTGGGTGGGCCTGGGGTGGCCCCTGGCCTGCCCTGCCTGCGAGCCACTGTGCAGGCACTCCGATCCTGTCCCCCTCTGGAGGGACCTGTGTTGGGAGTCTGGGTGCTCGGCAGCGGGTGGCACAGGCCTTGGGGATCTGCGGACTCCAGTTCCCTCCACCCTGTTTCCCCGGAAGCGTGGTCTCAGGTGGCTTCGCTAGCCGCCCCTTACCTGGCCCATGGCAGGCTTGTCAGGGCAAAGAAGAGGGTCCACATCCGGGACCCTGGCAGAGGGTGTCAGCCAGGGATCTCATTTTTGCAGCAGGGCCATAGTTCCTGGGGGAAAGCCTGGGGTCAGAGGCCATGCTGGACACTCCCCTTGAACAGGGAGGTGGCCGGGCAGTGGACTGAGGCTGGTGTGCAGGCTGCTCCGCCCGCTGCCTGACTTAGTCTTCCCGGGCTGTGCCGTGGTCTGGAGGGCAGACTCTCTGTTTTCCATGGTCGAGTCCGAGGGCTGTGCCCTGGGTCCTGCTGGGCGTGTAGTAGGTGCTCAGAAAGCTTCTGTGGACGGATGGACACAGGAGCAGTGGCCACCTGTGCCAGCGTGCTGCTGACCTGCTGGGTGGGTGAGGACCCAGGTGCCCTTCTTTTGCTGGCACCCACTGTGGGGCGTGAGGCTGCAGGTGGCCCTGGCAGCCATTTGTGCCCTGTGACACGGACGAGGAGGTTAGCCAGGGGCCTGTGCATGCTGCGGGGAAAAGGTCAAGTGAGCCCCTGGGCCACGCGAGCACTGGAGGGCCCCGGGACCCTTAACTCAGACTGGCCGTCGCGGGGCCCTCTGTAGTGTGCTGTGGCTGTCTCTCCGAAGAGAGTGCAGCTCGGAGTGTTCTGGACACCGCCAGCATTGACACCCGTCTCTCTGCACCTGGGCTGGTGGCCTTGTGTCAGCCACTCACGGACAGAAGAATGGCATTGATGTTGGGGACTGTCCCCAGTGAGGACGGGGAACAAGGGAAGTTGTCATGGGGTGTCTGCGAATGGTGGTGGCACTGTGACTATGGTGGCTTGAGGGACCACTCACACTCAGGTGGGCTGAGCATGTTAGACTCTGAACGGGTCAGGAAGTGGTAGGGTTAGGAGGAAGTGTGGGGCCTGCACACTAGTTAGGACCACTCTGGTGCTCAGGGGGCAGGGGGCCGTGGTGACCAGGGCTGAGCTGCAGGGACACAGCCTGAGCCCCTTGGCTCGTGGTGGACAGTAGAGAAGTCGCTGGCTCTTGCAGGCTGGAGGCCAGGGTCATGGCCTGTGGAGTGCCCCCGGGAGGCAGTCTTAGCTGGGTCAGATGCCTTTGGCATTTTTATGAGATGCCAGGAATGTTTGGGGTGCTTGGGGCCGATGGTCCTGCGTTCCACCTGGTGAGTTGTTTTGCCACATACCTGAACAGCAGTGACTGCGCGTGACGGCGGGCGTGTGGGGCAGTGATCTCTGCTCCAGCCAGCAGCAGTGGCCAGCAGCGGGGAACCCCAGGCTTGATGTGGAAAGTGGGGGAATTGAAACTGGCAGAGGGCAGGGGGGCTCTGCCCAGCTGGTGTGGGCAGGAAGTGCTCCTTCCAGCCTCCGGGGCTGGGCACCCTGGCAGAGTGCTGGCTCCGCCTGGCTTTTCCTAGAAGAGAATTCACCTCACCCCCAACCGGTCAGCACATGCCAGGCCCAGCGTGCAGCGGGCGGGTGGGGGCTGACCCCACGCCCTTCTTCAGGCGCAGGGTGCCGGGTGCCCGGCTGGTCTCCTGGGGCTCCTGCAGGCTGGTGGCCTCAGCTGTGGTAGCATGTCCTCTCATGGTTTCAGAGGCCAGAGGCGCAAGGTCAGGCTGTGGGAGTGCCCCCCTCCGAAGGCGCTGGGAGGACCCTGCCTGGTCCCCCAGCTTCTGTGGCTCCCGTGTCCTCCGCCCTCCTTGGCTTGTGCCTGCACCTTTGCAGGCTCTGCTTCTGGTACCGTCGGGCCACCTCCCCCGGGTGTCTGGGCCCACATCTCCCTCCTCCTAGGAGGACGCCAGGTATGTTGGGTTCAGGGCTACCCTCCTCCAGGTGGCCTCTGCTGAGTCCAGCGTGTTTCCAGATCTGGACGTGACTCTGGGGGACGTTCACTGGCTGGCAGCGTGTCTCCCTGTTCACACGTGGGACACTTTCCCCAGCATTCCTTGGAATGGCTGAGTGTCCAGCGGGGAGGTGGACAGGTAAGGAGGGAGGAATCAAGGGCAGGGTGACCACCTGCTGCTTGGTGGCTGTCTGGCCTTGGGCCAGTGACTCTGCCCCGACCCTGTTTCCAGGCTGGTTCCTGAAGCAGAGGGGCCGCGGCAGCGGTCGAGCAGGGCTGAGGGCTGTGCTGGAGGTGGCCACGTGCTCTGCCTGCTGCCTGCACAGGCTTCTGCCCCTCGGGGGCCGCACCCATAGGCCTGGGATGGGGCAGTCCCTCCCTCGCTGACCCATGGTGAGGACAGAGGAGAATAGGGCACAGTGTCCTCCCAGGATCCTGCAGAGATCAGTGTGGGCTCTGGATCTCGGCCACTCAGATGGTCAGGGGCCCTTGTGGATCCCGCTCCTTCCTTGGGAACTGGGGGTCCTGTGGGCAGCGTCAGTGGCCAGTGCGTTGGGGTAATCAGCCACACTGTGGAGCCAGGACCTGGCCTCTGCGGCCTCTTGCATGGAGCTGGCCTGAGTGGCAGATGCAGGGCCTCCTGCTTAGCAGTGTCCTGGAGCCCTTCTCTGACAATGGCCAGCAGGACCCCAGGCCTGGCAGCCTCTGTGTCCCAGGAGCTGACACCAGTTTGTCTGTGGTGAGGAGACAGCCCTGAGCCAGCGTGACCCCAGGCGGACGATGCCCTCGCCACACCAGTGCAGGCCCGCCTTGCCCTGCGCCCGCCCACCTGTGGTGGCGAGAGAAGCTCCCGTCACTTTCACAGGACCCCTGTGCTACTGTACACCTAGGCAGGGACCTGTGAGTCCCCTCGCTGTCCACTTCCCTGAATGGGCCTGGACAAGAAGCACAGTGTCTTCAGGGAGCCCTGTTTCCAGCCTGCTGTGGTTGGGGTTTCAGTGGATGGGCGGTCGCCCTGTGGTCAGCCCCAAACCCGTCTCTCCATCTGGGTACGACAGCTCTGGCCTTGCCCAGCCTGGTGCCCGCACTTATTCACCTGGCACAGAGAGGCAGCCAGTTCCAAGAAAGGGACTTTTGATCCTTGGAGGCGGCTGCTTTTGCCAAAAGCCCCCGACGTCTCCGCCTGGCCCCGGCCCAAGCCTGCTTCTCAGGGCAGCTCCTCCGCCTGAGGCTGTTGGGAGACACCTTTGAAAAATGGCCCTTGCTCTGGCTGGAGGGTGGCCGACTCAGTCCAGCCTGGCTCCTCCTTGGCTACCAGCCTGGGCCCAGGACGCAGAGCCATATGGCAGGTTCAGAAACCAAGCCAGGGCCCAAATTCCTGCGTGGTGGCCCCGGAGCCCCTGCTCTGCCTGACCCGCAGCTGCCTCAGCCTCCCCGAGCTTGGGGTCAGGTGGTGGGGTGGCCTGCATGCCCAGCTGGCCTGCACGCTGCCGCCAGCTCCGAGACCTAGGATGCGCCAGGGAGTCTTGTCCTGCCGCCCTCTTGGGTTGTGACGTTCCACGGGGCTGCCTCTGCTCCGAGCCGGACGGCCCTGGTCCCTCCCCCTCCTGTCCTGTCCAGCCATGCTGACAGTCTTAATGAGCCCATCCTGAGCACTTCCTTGTGGACCCGTCTTGAGGAAGTGCTTGTGCACGGAGCACTTTCCCACAGCCAGGAGACAATGTGCTGTCCCTTGCCAAGAATCACATTTGCCATCCTTCGCGTCCTGATGCTGGAGGTGAGCCTGGAGCCCGGCCAGGCCAGCCTGCCAAGCGCCCTCCATTGATCACTATCAGGATGCGTTTGATTAATATCTGCCCTGGATGGAGGCCGGCGCTTGGCCAGGCCCTGGTTCCCCGCTGCTGAGGGGCTCTGCGTGCCGGGTCTGGGTGGCGGCTGGTGGCGGCTGTGAGGCTGGTGCACGGGCCTCAGGCAGGTGGCCTGAGTGACAGTGCTGTGCTTGGCTGTGGCCGTGTGAACCTGCTCTCGGCTCGGCTGCCCAGCCTGGCTCTGTGTTTCCAGTTTACCCAGGTCTGTGAAGCAAAACCCAGCTGTCCAGTCCTGGAGTGCGGCTGGCCCTGCCTCCCAGGCTGGGTGGGAAAGGGCCTCTGGGCGATTCTCTGAGCCTGTGGTCAGGGGACAGGAGCCCCTTCGAGCCTCCTGCCTTCTACAGACTGCCCCGGAGGGGACAGGCCAGGGGCTTCCACGGTCCAGTCCTCACCTGTCCAGTGGTTGGGTCAGGGGACAGCAGCAGTGTCCAGCTCCATGGGGGCTGGCCACAGAAGGCCAGATGGGGACAGCAAATGGCAGCTGGAGGCTTTTGGGGACCTCAATTTCTGGGAAGGAGAAAGAGGATCTCAGCTGTGAATGACGGCAGAGGGGACTGTGGGAGAGGGGCAGCTGTGTGGCCTGGGCGGGTGGCTGCCGTGTCCTGTCCGTGTCCGAGAGGCCCCTTGGCGGCGGAGTCCTGAGTCCTGAGCAGGGGTGAGCAGCCCGGGCTGCTCCCTTGCTGGAGAAGCTGGTGACCCCTGGCCGAGGCCGTCCAGTGAGCACGTTTCCCAAGCGGCCGAGGCTCTGGTCTCTCAGGAGTTGGGGTCTTTGACGCGGGAAGGGCCTGAGGGGCCTAGTGAGGCCCCTGGGGGGCCGGGCCGAGCTCTGCCGTGGCAGGGGTGGCTGGGTCCCCCTGCTGGGAGGGGAACTGGTGGCTCCCACACCCAGCGCTCCCCAGGGCGCGTCCAGGCTGGGTGCTGAGAACCCTGAGGACGGCCCTGGCCAGGTGCTGCCTGCCTCTCCTCTGAGCAGCGGTCGCTGAGATCTGCTTGGACCTGGCCGTGAACTTGGCAGCAGCCCACGTCTGTGGGAGGGGGCTCCTCGGCTACCGGAGGGTCCCCAGCTGCGCCCACCCCCACCCGCCCTCTTACCTGTGCTGGCCTCCCAGCCTGGCGCCCTCCCCGCCCCCTGCCAGCCTGAGATGCCGCGGCCCTCTGTGGACGTGCCCACGTCTTGGCCCCACCTCTCCACCTGTCCCCACGGCCCCACCACCTCTGGGGACCTTGTCCCTCCCCAGTGTGAAGCCAGCCCTGGCGGGGCCTGCAGGAACAGCCCCGCCCACCACCCAGGCACACCCGGGTCACAGCTCCTGCCTGTCACTGTCCTGTTCCATGCCTCTTGGGCTCAGGGCATTTGTCATGTGCTAAAAACACGTGGAAGTCCTGACCCCCGGGACTGGTGGGCATGGCTCAGGGGTCTTTGTAGGTATGATACAGGTGGGGGCGGTGGTTGAATATGGCTTGTCCTCTCCCCCAACTCATGTTGGGATCAAGGCCCTGTTGTGGGGCTTCAGAGGGCAAGGCCTTGGGGAGGAGACCAGGACGAGCTGAGGTCACCAGGATGGACCCATGAGAACACCACCAGAGGAGGTGTCTTGCCCATCTACCAGAACTGTGAGCCCAAATAAACCTCTTTACTCTATAACTCACTCAGTCTGTGGTATTTTGTTATTGGCAAACAGGAAGTGGATGAATACAAAGTGACTTTGGGGTGAGGTCATCCTGCATGATCCTGTGGGCCTAGCATCAAGTGTCTTGTGAGGGCCAGAAGAGGAAGAGGCCACAGAAGACACAGGCAGAGACTGCAGTGACGAGGCCAGGGAACATGGGGGCCCCAGAACCTGGAGGAAGTGGGAGGGCTCCTCCCGAGGATCCTGGAGGGACCCACAGCCCCTTTTGGGCTCCCGTGCCCAGACTGTGAGCAGAGGTCTACCTTTAGGCCACTCAGTTTGGCCCGTTGGTCACAGGAGACCCGTCCGCCTTCCTTGATCCTGAGGGATCATCCAGGTCTTAACTGAGACCCAAGAGGAGCCCCTGGTGCCCATCAGACCCGCTCCGCCTCTCTGGGCAGACGTCCAAGCCACTGTGTGCACGTAGTGACCCTGCCCTGTCACTGTGCGGTAGTTATTGATGGTTTGTTGATTGATCAGTTACACATTTACGGCCCACTGTGGAGGACGGGGGCAGACCCTTTCAATCAGCCTGGGGCTCGGCTGTCACCAGGCTCTGCTGATTGATGCCAGCTCTAGTCACGTGCAGTAGGTTGAATGAGTGAAGGGGCTCGTCACCCTCCTGTCATCCCCCCGGTCACCATTTACCTATGGCTCTGGGGGCCCAGGGGCTGGGATACGGCCGTCCCGGGGAGCGGTGAGAGCAGGGTCTCCAGTGGGACCTGTGGGTGTGGCTGTGGCACGGATGGGGCAGTGGAAGCTGATCACAGACCTGGGGACAGTCGACGCAGGCTGCGTGAGCCTCTGCCATGTGCTGCGGGAGGTGGGAGCCGACAGAGTGGAGCAGGGAGCGTTTTCAAGGCTCACCCCGGTGGCTGGACACTGGCTCTTGTGGTGGACAGTAGGGCAGTGAGTACCCCAGACGCCTCCAGGATGGCTCCGAGTCTGCGGGTGTGCTGGGAGGGGAGAGCAGGCCAGGTCGTCTGCAGGCCCTGCCGTGTCCGAGGGCACCTGAGCCTTCTTCCCTGGACGGCTGCCCCTTCTGGGCCTCAGGTGAACCTGTCCACCTGGCAGAGCTGCGCTGAGCTCCCTGCGCCGGGCACTGCCCTTGTGACCTGCCCACTCTCCACGAGGCGCCTTTCTGCAGATGTGCAGACTGAGGCTCAGCAAGGGGCCTTGGTGAGAAGAGGCTGTGGGCTTGGGCTCAGGCCGAGGGGTCTAAGGACAGGGCTGTCAATTGTCCTGCACACACGTCCCTCACACTCAGGGGTCGGGGCCTGGCGGAGAGAGCATGGGTCATTCAGCCTGTCTCTGGAGCGGGCACGAGCTGGGGGGGCAGTCTGGGTTCGGGACGTGGAGGGGCAGCGCTCTAGGAAGGGACAGTGTGAGCCGTGCCCAGAGAAGGAAGGACAGGAGGCCAGGGAGTCGGCCTGCAGGGTCCCCCGTCTCCAAGGCTCGGCAGGAGGCGGCCCCCTGCTGCCCAGGCAGGTCCTTGCTCCACTCCAGGGAGGGACACGGGAAATGCAGGTCATTCCCCCAGGACGGGTGGCTCCACCCCCCTGTCCAGCCACCGGTCAATCTCCATCCATCCGTCCACCCAC